GAAGCACAAGTATTGGCAGAATGCTTATACTGCCAAGGAGAGCAGTGGCAATTATAGAAAACACTACTAAAATTAGATGTGGTTGTGTCTCAGAGTTGCCAAGGATTCACTGGGATGTCCCAAGGGATTTTGTGTAGTGTCCCAACAATTATATGGGTTATCTTAGAGTTGTGGGGGATATTTCTATTTTGAGGAATCATATGTAGCATATCTCAAGTACTGGTCAAATGGGATAATCTCTATGAATTCAATTTTGAAGAATTATTTTTCTTTCCCCACTTTCTTTGTCAATATCTACTGGTTCCATGTGCTATGACGCTAATGGGAACCTGCTTTTCTAAGGATGTGTGGTGAATACAGATATAAGCTGTTTGGTGACAATTCAATGCAATAGTGTGATCTGAGCAGGGGTACCTGACATACCATTAATAAGACTATTCTTTAATGTATGATTTTTTTTTGGCATCATACATAGACACTGAGGCCTGCAATATTTAAAAAAATCACCCAGGAATCCCCACTGGGTACTTGAGACATCCCACAGGATAGTCTGGGTTATCCCACTGGGTAATTGGGATATCTCCCATATGTACTCCTTCCTATGGTATGACAATGTTCTTAGCACACATAAATTAGGAACCTCTCATTAATATACCCTGAGTTCATTATGGGATAGCTTGCAGCACAAAATATCTACTATTCATTTGGACAACCTTGTTCACAGCAGCTTCATATTTCTTGTTGCACAAATATTCAGGCTCTATCTACTGTAGGTTGCTTAAAATTTCACAATCCATAATAAGCTAGCTGTCATAGCATAGACAAAAAGAAGAGAATGTGATAATGTGATGATAGCACTAATCTAAATAACTTTACTTCAAAGTACTTTCCTCAGATTGGTACTCAGATTGTTATTACTAAATTGTGGGCACGACAACAGAAAACTTTGACACAGAAATGGTTTTCTACTCTAAGAAGTGTTATTTGTGTGTGCATATTGATAAGTTTGATCTTCAGCTAAAAAGTTGTCAATATATAGCATACTGCAAGGCATACTGTATCTATTGTTTGCTTTGGAATGGCTGCGCCCTCTGACATCATCAGCCACTGCCTTCATCAACGGTATAGTACATATGTACAAATAAACCTGTAGTAGTATATATACCTGTTACAATTGACATACCAGAACCTACTTACGCTTCACTTTTGTACTTTACTTTTCATTTTTCCAAGTCACATGACCAGTCATGTGATATATCACCTGACCAATGTCTAGACTCATCATGTGACCGGTCACATGCTAGACATCGGACTTTGAACTTTATTTACAACTGTACAGTACCTCATGTATTTTAGTATATATACAAGAGCAATACATAGGACTCAGTGAGTCCTCCTGTTGTCTAGCACAACTAACTCACTGCAGCCTAAGGGGTAACCACTCCCCATCATTTTCTTTATAGTGTGTTCCTGTGTGCGCCAGAGTAAATAACTCTTGGTTGTTACAATACCTCAATAGATCAAGGAGACTCCTCAGCGAGTCCTCCTGTTGTATCCTCACAACTAACTTGTTGAAGTCTAAAGAGTAACCACTCCCTCATCATCATCTCTATAGTTGATTCTAGTTGTGCGCCAGAGTAACTAACTCTTGGTTGTTACAACATCCCTTGAAAAATCCCTGAGAGAATATCCCACACCTGGGGATGTCCCACTGAAAGTAGGGCCCTTAGCCACATAGCAATACAGAAGGCATTCAAGCTAAGAGCCAGATATCTTGGGGTGACTGAAGTGTCTACACTTCCATGAAATGAATAATATGGATTAATACTGTGTATGCACCATTTGATGAATGTGATACACTAGCTGTTACAATACACAATTTCCGGACCTTTAAATTTTATTCTCCACTTTAACTTTCTTTTGTAGTTTTCACACACTGTGCACTTTCCATTTTTTGTTCAAACTCCACTTTCTTGCACTGCACTGCTTTTCTTTATTCTTAGCTGCAAGTCTCTCATGCAGTGGAGCAGGTCACATGGGCTGTGCCCTATGATATCATCAGCCACTGCCTCCATCAATAGTACAGTACATATGTACAAACAACCTATAGTATTATATATACCCCAATAGATCAAAGAGACTCCTCAGCGAGTCCTCCTGTTGTTTACCCACAACAAACTTGGTCCTATCTAAAGGGTAACCACTCCCCTCACTTCTTTATAGCTTTGTCTGAGTTGTGCGCCAGAGTATACAAACTCTTGGTTGTTACACTAGCTAATAAATCAATTTGGCAAGATGACTTGAAAATCCTCTTGGTAAATGTGCTCAACATCTGGACAATAATAGATGTGAAGTGCATATTTGTCAAGGCTAAGTTGCATATTTTACTACACATAATTACTTACATTCAAAACACGGACCTGCAATTTTATTTGCAACAGAGAAGTTTGAGTGTTCCATAACAAGTCTAAGTGAAACTCAGCCGCTGCCTAAAAGGCTATAGAAACAACTATATTATTTACCTGAGTGAAACTACAATAGATGTTAGTTTAAGGTGATTTTTAATAAACGTAATGTAACATACCTCAGCCACTGCCTAAAAGGCTATAGAAATGACTGAGGTATTCCTATACGAAACCCCCTACTATTTATAGTTGGGGGTGCTACTTGCTACAGTATAATGACTCCTAGGAGAACAATGGTGACTCCATGGAGTGGTGGCTATGCTCCATGGAGAACAATGGCTGTTTTAGCAGAGACCGTGTTTATCCGGTTTTGTCATTCCAATGCCATTTTCTGCTTGTGCAGTGTCCTATCCAATCACTCAGCACTGAGTCACAATATTGTGTGGGCTTTTGCAGACATGGAATACTTCAAGCACATATTGTCAGGTAGAAGCTGGAAAAATAAAGATGGTGTGCATATTAGTGTTGGCTCAAAAGTAATGGTTTTTTTTTTGCAGATACACACCTTCAACAAAGACTTAGCTACATCAGCAATGAGGATCAGTTAAAACAATAAGTTAAGCTTTAGTCATGTGAAGTCAAGTCTAGTCATATAAAATCAGGTCAAAGTCACAGTCTAGTCAAGATTTAGTTATAAAAATGACCTGGCTCCCACAGTGTGATGAAGTCACTATTTTTTGAGTGCCAAAATTCAGAAAATAGTCATGTATTGTACACTGGAAGACAAAACTGTCACTTTGCCATTTAAAAAAATAGGTTTTCTAGCTTATTACTATGTATCTAGCATTAGGAATATAGGAAAGCAGCTAACATATACATGTAGGTCAATCAGGCAGATATTATAAATGCCTCTATGGAGTACTTGTTATGCTGTGTGCAAACACCCTGTTGCTCTATTGGAAGGCTTAGTTCTAATCCAATGAATGTGAATGTCAATTTGTTTTGTCAGTCAAACATCTTTATCAATTTGGATTGGCATAACTTAACATGACTGCTAGTCGACTTTTATGTGATTTGCACATGATTTTTTGTTGACTACCTTAGTTTGGTATTGGTAAAAAAAGTGACATTTAGTCAAATCATAGTCAACTTTGATTGTTCCTTGACTTTTCATTTTACTGAGGATAATCCCACAAAATGTGGGATTTGTCCATGTTGAGTTGGGTGTTACGCACAAAGTGCTTAACAAAGTCTGAGGGTTCGTTGAGGTTTCAAGGGAGACTTATCCAAAGACAAGTTTGAGAATGTAGTTCTGAGTTGAGTTCTTCCAACAAGAGTTGGTCTTCTTCTGAGTAGAAGTCTGATCTTAGGAGTCTAGCTTTGTAAGCGTAAACTGCGTAGAATTGTATTAGAGAATACTACTACTATTACATGTGTATTTATAATGGAAAGAGTCGGTGATAGGAGTTAGGTCCTATCTAGGGCAGGTCCGTCCGTTGAGGACTAAGTACTATAATAGGTAATATGAATGCGAGAAGAACAGAAGTGTATGTGAAGGAAATGAGTCATCAGTCCGATGGTATAACCAATGAGTAAAGAGAAATGAGTAGTCCTTAAATGTCCAATAGAAATCGTAACATTGGGATGATTCCATTCCCCTGCTAGGATTTGTCCATATTCAGTTGGGATAACTCCACATTCTATGGGGATGTGTTCATGTTAAGCTGGGATTTATCCCATATTTTACAAGGATATGTCCCATATTAATCTGGGATGATACCACATTGTTTAGGGATATATTGAGCCAGGATATGTTTATATTAAACTGAGATGATTCCATATTCTGTAGTGATGTGTCCGTATTTGACTGTGACCTTCAGAGTAGTTGGTGTTTCCAAGGACAGATGTATGCATGGGGGCAAAACAGGGTACGAGGTTGGGAGGAGGCTTAGCTCATGCGCTAGGCTCTTCTGCAGACCTTGGTCCCTAACTTGACAGTGTGAACAATGAAAAAGTGGAGGATGAAAGCAGAGTAAAGCAAAGGTCCTTCAGAGAAGGACCGGTAAACTTATGATCTCCTTTTTATTGTGTCTCTCCAGCAGGCAACAGATTGTGTGTTACGATAACACAATTTTTAGACCTTTCCTTTATTTTTATTCTCCGCTTTAACCTTGTACTTTAACCTTCACACATGGTGCCACGCAGCACTTCCCCCTTTTGTCCAAACTCCTCTTTCTCGCGCCGCGTTGCCTTTCTTCTTATTTCAGACACAACTCTCACACACAGTGGAGCTGGCCATGCGGGCTAGGCCCCATGACATCATCAGCCACTGTCTCTATCAACTGTATAGTACACATGTACAAACAACCCTGTAGTAGTATATATACCCCAATAGATCCAGGAGACTCCTCAGCGAGTCCTCCTGTTGTTAACCAACAAACTCTCTGCAGCCTAAGGGGTAACCACTCCCCATTCACTACCTTTATAGTGTGTTCCTGTGTGCGCCAGAGTAACTAACTCTTGGTTGTTACATTGTGAGGTCAAATGTAGCACACCATTTCTTACTTAGTGCTTTTATTTGTGTGTTGAATATGTCTAAGATGGTGTGACCCGGCCTGCCATCTTGAGAGTAGCTGGATTGAATGACAGCTTGGTTGTCAGTGAATATGGACACTGGGAAGGATGAGTTGGTTTCTGTGGAGAGTAGCTTAGCTGTAAGGGTGATTTCTACAGCTTCAGCTTCAAAAACTGTGTGGTTGTCAGCAGATCTTAGATAATACCTAAGTACCTGTTTTTGCTGTCCTCCTCGGTATAAAATTGCTGCGGCACTTACTCTGCCATTGATAAGGGAGCCGTCAGTAAATATTTGGACTCTGTTGTTGATGGAGGGATAAAGGCTAATCATGATATTCTTTGTGGCTGGGATGTTTGTGCTGTATGTGGGTGACGTGTGGGGTGTAGGGCAGTGAGGGTAGATAGTTTCTACTGCCAATAAATCAATATCATATGCTCTAGAGAGGTTGTGTATAGTGTGGCGGCGTTGCTTGATTTGTGGCCTCCAAATTGCGCATTAAAGAACAGTGAGGTGGAGAAGACAGCTAAACAAGACAAAAGGATACAAGTGTTAATTGACAACCTTGAGCTTTATCCTAACGACACACCTTTTATAAAGATGGTTTTCAGGCCATTTGAAAGCCATGTTGGACTGAGAAGATTGACCATACTGTTAATGTCCGCTTTATCAATGAACTTGTTGATTGTGCCTGGGATAATGAAACAGTGTGTTCAAATAGCACTACAAAATAACCAGGCCAAATAACACTTACTTAGGCATTACCGACCATTCCAGGAGGCAATCCAGAGCTGGTAAATACTGACTACAACAAAGACATCATCATCAAGATGACAAAATTATATGGTGCAACTTACAGTCTCAAGTAAAAGCTTGCACTGACCCACTAAGGTTTGAAAAACCACAGCTGCTAAAGCTTGATGCCAGGTTGCCAAATGTTGATGTGAAGGCATCCCAGGGTTTGAAGCCAAGTACAATGTGGCAGATGCTGTGGCAATAATTGACACCAACTTTGGCTCTGACAATGTCTCCTTTGATGACTCTGATTTGAGTGAGGCCTCAAGGAAACATTATGAAGATCAAGACTTTTCAGCCAATGGCTGGATGAAAATTGGGCTCTGTTGGCGCTTACTGGATGTAAGCAATTTTTAATTTAATCAAAGCACTTACTGATGATGAACACAGTATGTTTTTTTCCTTGTGGAGCTGGATTCAATTGTCAAAGGGCTACATAGCACAGCAATAGAAACCAATGGTGCTAGCTCTGCACCCCACCAAAACAATGCAAGACAACTAAGAAAGGAGATACAACTACAAAGAGTTTTACCACTCACCCCTTGAAAATGGTCAATAAACCACTGCAATCAGGAAAGGCACAGCCAACAAAACCATTCAGACTAATGGTTCAAAAGGCCTGGCTTACTGCAAATCCTCCAGTTGAAGTCCTTGAGAGTATGGCCTGGTTGCAAGATTTTCATACTCATGTGAAGCAGGGGGAGTTAGTAGCTAAGGATAGGGAGTATCTCAGGGAACTGGCAGAGTATTTGGCTGATAATGATGGTGATAACAATATAAATTAGTAGTACAAAGATAAAAAAAGGAGTAGAAATATTATTGAAATGTTAACAGAAGATGAAAAGAGGAAAATAATGAGCATCAGCCAGAAAAGAAGAATGATAAAGCTTTAGCATACAAATAATCACTGCTGGACAAAACCAAGCTGAGTCACTTATCATTCAGCAAAAAAAGACACACTTTTGCCAAGTCAGTTGTGGCCCATACTTTCTTCCGGTCAGGCCCAATTGTGACTGTCTTGAGAGTGATGTGTCCCTTGATTCAGTTAGGGGAAATGAGGGGGGGCAACTGCATATCTGGTTCCAAATATTCCTCAAGCTCCCAAAGTTGAACACCAATAGCTGCATTACCAAACACAAAGTCAATAAATGCTATTAAAATATGAGTGAACTTACAACTCATCCCATATATCATCATGTTCACCCTCCTAGTGCTTAAACCATTGCATATTAGCAAAGCACATTGAGTCTCCTGTGAACCAAATGTCTTGCTTAAATGAAGACCTTCAAGACTTCGCCATATGCATTGAGAATGCCTTCAACAGAAGACTGCTCAATAGGAACATCAACTAATAACAAACCAATGGACTCTGCTGTGTAAGAAGCATTATAGCGCTCGCGATTAATCACAACATAATCATAAAATGTTGCTTTGTAGTTTAGAGGTAAACTCTTGGTGGCTAATGGATATTGAGAGCGGCAGTGAACAGGTGTGGTTGGTGACCACATGCAGATTGTTCGTGCAAGGAGTTGGTAGGTTTCACTTGACATAGTTTGGTGATGAGGGTTGAAGGCATAAATAACACCAGCTATATATTGAAAGAGGTTTATATGTAAATACTATCTGTGTGAGCTTTGTCTAACTCTTTTAATAGTGTTGCAAGTGCAGCAATGATTCTATATTCTGCCAGTGAAAATGGACAGTGTCACTGTCCATTTTCACACACTTCTCAGGATTAGATTAGATTTGAGTGCCACATTTTTTTTCAGAGTCAGCTCTTGATACATATGTGGCACTAGTGTGATGTTGCATATCACATCACAATGGTACACCACTGCGCTTCAAATTCCTGCACGTCCTTCTATCCTTTCAAGTTGCAATAACATTGAGCTAATAGCATACTTGTTAAGTATGTGTTAGCTCTAGGTATGGTTTTTTCTAATAACTATCTTATAAGGTACTGAAATTAGCTTTATTCTATTCACAGTGGCCACTGGCACCAATGCCATATCGATACCCAACATATCCCACCACTACATCATCAGCTGGTAGTAGCAGCACACACTACTGCTTCAATTATCACTAAGGTATGTTACAACTACTCCAAAGTGTGTTTGACCACCTTATCTTTTTCTGAATAGGTGTGGATAGGTTAACAAGCCAAAGTATGTTCCTCCATTTACTATATCTACAGTATACCTATACTTATAATCACTGACCAGATGCTTGCACTATCCATCAAGGCTTGACAAACTGCAAAGAAAACTTATCAAGTCATTCATGAAATTCTGTGAGTATTGTCAAAGTGTATTTATACAATAATATTGAATGTCATCCATTGTGAATAGTATGAGTATCTTAAGACAAAACAGAAAATTGAGAGGATTTTGTAGTTTGTGGGGGTTCACTTCATTATAGTAGTTTACTCTATGCATGTCATACAACGGTATTAGGGATAAATTCTGACAGTTTGCTATATTCTATAGTGAAAGTAAATTTAGTAAGATTGATTTGAAACAAGAATCCAGAATTATGATATCTTTTATACTCTATGAAAGTAGCCATAGTAGAGGCAACTATGTATTTCACAAATGTGTGTTGGAATAGTCAAGGTCAAAAGCCTGTTAGCCTTGTTAGACAACATACGTCATGAGTTGATATTAATACAAGGGCTGGTAGCTCAGTTGGTTAGAGCACACCATATATAGGCAGAGGTCCTGGGTTTAATCCCCAGCTGGTCCACTTTGCTTTTATGTACTCCCTGTGATCAGGTGGCTACGTGAGGTATATAGAGCTATATAATAGGGACTTGTCTAGGCGTACTATAGCTACTATTTCCCTTATGTATTACTATGGTGGCTATAATAGCTATAAAAGGCAACTAGGTTTTTCCTGATGGCCTTCTTGTGAAACTATTGGACTTGAAGAATAAATTTAATAATATTATGACTAAAAGTTTTTTGTTTGTCATATGTACGGACCTGGAGTGGAACATTTGTTATATATTTAGTGTGGTGAAGATGAAATAATATGTATACTCACCTTGACATCCAGGTCACCAAAGATGAAAATAACTTTTCCATTGTTTAAAAGCCATTCTACCACATCACATATTTCTTCTGGAAGATTATCTGTTGCAAGCCCATACTCTGAAATTACCAATAAATGTGCTTTTTGCTTGACTTCACCCCTCATCTGGGAAGAAGCTGACCAAACCTGTGGAGTTTTATTAGTATTGTAAAACAATCAAAAATATAGAGATTTGGTGTACGTAGTCCATAATTCTCCCTTTTAATAGCTCATTCTCCACATCCTCCAGCTTCAACATTTTGGCACTTAAAGTGGTGGAAAATTTGTCAGTGCAGTCCAGACCAAATTATCATGCTCTTCAATTGAAAGAAAACCTTTTGATGTAGCTAGTGATACCCTCAAATATGAATGGCCTGATTTAGCTAATTTTGCTGAAGTAGGGCTAAAGCTAGACATTGCAACCTGTTTTATGATATGAAAAAATGTCAATGGGAATGATTTTTCCTTTGAGACTTTTGATGAAGTTGCAGAAGGGGTAATTCCACGACTTGTATTAAAAATCCTCTCATTTAAATCTTGGCAAATTATCTGTAAAATAATATGATATATTATCTGTGCATTTTAGTAGTGGAGGACGTTGCTTACTTCATTACCCATAGACCTAGGACGCTCTGCAGGCTCATATTCAGAATTGCCAACTTCATTCACAGGAGATATACTAGAGGTAGGTGTAGCAGGAGGAGTATAATCATCTGTGGTTATATTAAGGTCAGCATGCTGTACCAGAGTAGTTGATTTGACATACCATTTGGCCTCATTGAACTCATTCACTCTTCTTCCTCATTGTCAAGTTCTTCATAGATCTCATCTTCAGCTATCCTCCTTGCCCTTTTATGAATGGGTTTTTCATCCTCTTCTTCATCCCCTTTGTTACTGCTCTGATCAACATCACCAACTTCAGCCTCAAGCATGTCAGCAGTTTTTCTATGTATATCTGTATTTTAAAGGACAGTGTCAATAAGAATTATAGATAGATAAATAAACAAAGGTGTACCTATTAATCTTTCCTCATTAGCTTGTACTTCTGCAGCCTTGAGTTTCTTTTGAAGGTTCTCTAATATTTTTCTCTCCTTCATAGTTAAGCCTTCATCTCTATTCTTGGAGGATGTAGCTTTTTTGGCCTTGTCCCTTCTGTTCCTTGCTGAAGTAGCAAGACCTTGCTTTTTTTGAGGTTGTCCAGACCTAGTTTTAGGAGCCATAGAATAGAGTAAGGTATAAACCAGACTAAAATGCAAATATTGACTAGTAGCAGCCAATATTTTACTGGGTAAAATCTCTCAGATTTCAAACCTTTTACTTTACAAATGCGTACAAATACAAATATTCAACAATATCTCAAATTACATTCAGATTGTCCGTAGGGGCCTGTCAGAACCGTGGCCTTTTCAGAGTAATGGAGCTGTGGAGTACAGGGACAGAGTAACAGAGTACGGAGGATGAGATGGGGAATTTAATAAAACTATGTGAAACTACAATGGATGTTAGTTTAAGGTGATCTCTAATAAATGTAATGTAACATACATCAGCCGCTGCCCAAGAGGCTATAGAAACGACTGAGATATTTCTATACTAAACCCCCTACTACTTATAGTCGGAGGTGCTACTCGCTATAGTATAATGACTCCTAGGAGAATAATGGTGACTCCATGAAGTGGTGGCTATGCTCCATGGAGAACAATGGCTGCTTCGGCAGAGACTGGGTTTATCTGATTTTGTCAGAATTGGCTTAGCTCGTGCGCTAGACCCTTTCACGGACCTTGGTCCTTAACTCGTTGGAAGTGGATGTAGGAGAAGTAGAGGATGAAAGGGAGTAGAATAAAGATCCTTCAGAGAAGGATTGGAAAGGTCTTTAGAAAAGGACTGGTAAGAAAGCAAGAGAATCTAGTTGATATTCAAACTGCAGGAACAGAGTACAGGAGTTACAGCTTATATACTGTCGGGGGAGCAGGAGCTTATAAGGAGTAACCCGTAATGTAGGTACAGAGTTCCATGCAGACAATTATCTAGCGAGAGGAGAATGTATGTGCAAGGAGTGTATCATAAGGTTTAACTACAGAGTCCACAAGGAATACTAGAACGTGCGAGGAGAAACGTATGGCAAACTAGAAGTCTGGTGCAGGAGTACCAGAGTGGACAACTGGAGTACCATGTGGGAATAGAGCATAGAGTTATGCCAGCTGGCAGACCACAAGGAACATAATCCTGAGTATACCAATGGTTTGGGGGGTTTTGGGCCCAGAGAACAACTCCTCCGGAAATGCCAGAGTTCTGTCTTCTGGTATGGATGTGACACGGCCGGCTACTTACACAATTGTGTGATGAAATTAAACACCTAATTGAAGTTAACATTGCTTGCCCCCAACCATTATGTCCTTCAGCCCAGCTTTCCATCTCTTTGTCAGTTTGCAAGACAATAGAACACCTCTCACCCTTAAAGTGCAAATTCATGTGAGTGATATTGCATGAAGGAAACACCACAAAATCTCCCTTGTTAAGTTGCAACACCAATCCAGGTTCCACCAGGCATAGTTTCCCCCTTTTGTGCTTATCCAGTGTGAGCACAAGGCATAAAGTTTTGTCCTTTGCATTAAAGTGAGCTTTAGTTCCATTGACCACTAAGCTAATGAAAGGGTAAACAGCAGAGCAATTATTTCCAGGTAATATATTGGCAGTCTTACTGAGTATGGCATATTATTCAGGAAAATAAGCCAATAGCTACATAGATCAATCAGAATATGTCTAATAAACAAAAAAAAAACAATATTATCAATCCATTCAAGCAAGTCTGAAAATATGGTTTTGAGATGTTGATACATGGTAGCGTGGGTTTGCATCTCCTTGGATGCATAGGGTGTTAGCTGGCTATAGTTTGTCCGTGAAGCATGCACCTTCTTTATCATGAGAGGTGGGACATCTTTTGGTGTGTTATTTCCCTGCTTTTTGAATTAGGTAAGGAGATATAATGAATTGAGATCCTCACCTGAGTACAATAACAGTTGTACTATGAAAAATGAAAGCCTCAAACTGAAAACCAATTCCCTCCTGAGCAAAATCTGTATACTGTATTTTGGCTGTGGGACACAAACATAACACCAGATTATTGAAGATATGATTGTGCAATGAAGGAGGCATAGAGTTGTTGAGAGACAGCATGAGAGACTTGCCCTTGTTGCACAGTGTAAGACCTGGGCTGGGGAGGATCAATAAAGATATATAAAGATCAGGTGATGACTCTGATCTTGTGCCGTCAATATAGTGAATTTTAAGCTGTGTCTGTGAATTAAAATGTAAATTTTGTATGTTGTGTGGACAAACATACCTTAGCTTCTAGATCTTCTATGTTGACAGACATAACAGCATAGCTTGCTTTTTCCCTTTCACCTTCAGTCACGCAAACTTTTCTTCAGGAGATCGCGGTGCTGGAAACTTCAAGTTCACCTGGGATTAGGGGTCAAATGTGGTGACAATGGTAAAAGGAGTGGTGGAAGAGTCATCTAAAATGGGAGCTGCAACATGAGCTGACATATCAGGCTGACTCTCAATATCATATAATGATGTTAGAAAATGCCCCTCAGCATGGTCAGTGCCAAGAAGAGCTTGACCATACTGCTGAAAGGGCACTCTGAAGTTGTCCACTGGGAGCAGACACATTTTCCAGCAATCATATCAATGTGGAAGCAGATGAAATATTCTATATAATACAATCATAAAGATAAGGAAACAAAACAAGGAAGTATACTTGCTAAAATCTGATTACACTAAAAAAGTGGTCAGTTGCCTCCAGATTGGTGCAATCAAGTTTTGTCGGTAGTCCATAATGTGAAAGAAGGGCTTGAGAGAACATACTTTCCATCTTGATGGGCAAAAGTTGGCGTAGCCTGGCAATCATTGTAATTATCCTTGAAATCACAAGATGCCCAGAGGGGTTCTCTGTAGCCGTAGTAAAATATATGTAATCAACAATAAAGGTAAAAACTTACCATCTGAAGGCTACCTTAATGTATTCCCTATTTTCCATGGCGTCATTCCATCCATCTTAGCAAGCTGAATGCAAAAATTCAGTCCAGCCACAAGTAGGAGTGCGTATATAGAACCTGAAAGTTAATCTGATTAATCAGACACAAAGTAATAAAGTACAAAGATGCAAAAAACTGACCACCAGATGCAATGGCTGCAAATTTACAACCAATTGCATGCCATTGTTCAAACCTCTTTTTGGATGGCTTTGGAGGAGGAAGGTCTGTCCATATTGCATCCAAAGTACGCCCCTCCTTGAACATAAGTGCTGAAGAAAAACCATTTATAATAAGGCTGTGAATGAGTCAGATTTAACACTTACCTTTCACATTTTGCAACTAATTAAATGTAGTTAATCATAAGCAAAAAATTGACAGACATTTTTCCCTGTTACACAATGACATCTTGCCACAATTGATGTCAATGTCTCATCAGTGTAGTGGCTGGGGGCCCTTGTGATGAGTGAAGTAGCAGATTCTACCCACTCATCTGTTTGAAATGCTGGTGAAACAGAATGGGCGGCTGCAAGGTCAGCAATGAATGAGTTGATGCTTGAGCTGTTCCTAGTAGCTGGAGCTGGAGCATCCCTTGCCTCCCACTGCTGTGCAGAAGAGGAAGTGGCAGGCGCTACTCCACCGCTGGGACAAGGATATTGTGGGCAGCGTGGACAATGTGAACAGTGGGCCTGGATAGCCTGGATATCTTCTTCTTCTACATCTGATATGTCTTGGACATCTTGATTATATGGATGGAATTGTTGAGATGTCCAAGTTGTTTGACATCTGGAGTGTAGGGTTGGAGATGTGGTTTGTAAGTTCGTCTATCATAACAAAAAGGTCAGTAGGACTCAGTGAAGAGAGAACCTGCCTAAGTTGAGCATAGAAATCTGCCAATCCAACTGGATTGTGGACACACCTGATTCCCACAGCAGACTCAGAGCATACTCAATTTGAGCCAACTCAGCAGAGTGGCATATACTGGCGTGGGAATCAGGTGTGCCACCCTGGGTGTGGTCCATTGTTTGTTTGCTTAGCAGAACAGAACACCAGGGCGTGGGAATCAGGACACTCGGCACACCTGATTCCCATGCTCAGTTTGCATGCTCTGTTAACACTTGACGCCTGTTACCAGCTATGTGAATAAGGATGAGCAGCATACCTGTTTACCATGCAAATAGCTGTGCAGCTCTCTGAATCCAATAGAAGGTCAGTACATGTGTCCAGCATAAAAATATATAATAGGTACTTATAAAGGGAGGTGATCTAAGAAATCAATACTCAGTTTTGTGCAATACAAACTCTTATTTATTATGCTGTACCTAAGAAATCAATACTGAAGCATAATAAGTAAATGAAGATGTGGAAAAGACTGTATCTACTGACCTCAGTTTTGTGCAATACAAAGTGAGGTGTAACTATTCTAAAAATGAGCATAAAAATGAGAAGGAAAAGTCCGAGTTTTTGAATCCCAATGGGGAAACATTTTCCCATAATTATAGGGTGAAAAGTCGGACTGTAAATGAATTATCTAGTACTTGAAATATTAGCGTAGGCTCGAATAAAGTGTTGAATCATGAAAATAATATATTGAGTATATAGAAATATGCCTACAGGTGAGCCTACTGGATACGCAATCAGCAGTCTAACCATGCTTTCTACTCACTCAGGATCAATGAGCGCTAGCTCCACCTTTTGCGCCACAGTCACAGTATCTCAGTCTAGGGGGTCTGTGAGAGAACACTCTCCTACCTACCCCAAGGCGGTATTGCCACCACCAATCTCACTTCAGTTGTCAATTTCCACTAGCAAGATATCTCCCTCCACACAGCTACAGCCTGTGTCTCCCTCTCCAAAGCAGTCCCCCGTGACACCAATGGCATCAACACCCTTCACAGAGGAGGGTAAGTTAACTCACACAGAGGCTTGTACACACCTACAAACAATCACCAGCCTTGGAAAGTACTGCATTTGTCATCATGCCTATTGCTCTTCAATATAGTGTTATCTCAAATGGCACACAAGACTCTTTCTCACCTGTTGTAGGTTCATTATTGTTTTTTTCCCACAGCAATAAGTTGACAAAACCGGATAAACCCGGTCTCTGCCAAAGCAGCCATTGTTCTCCATGGAGCATAGCCACCACTCCATGGAGTAACCATTGTTCTCCTAGGAGCACAATTGTACTCCTAGGAGTCATTATACTGTAGCGAATAGCACCTCCGACTATAAGTAGTAGGGGGTTTAGTATAGAAATACCTTAGTTGTTTCTATAGCCTCTCGGGCAGCGGCTGAGGTATGTTACATTACATTTATTAGAGATCACCTTAAACTAACATCCATTGTAGTTTTACTTAGTTTTATTAATGGGGACATCCCTTGTACTAACTTTTGGGAAAGGGGGAAATCCCAGTTATGCAGGGACATCATTGGGGATCACATTTGGTGTTACAATTGACATACCAGCACCTACTTACGCTTCACTTTTTGTACTTTTACTTTTTATTTTCCAAGTCACATGACTGATCATGTGACCATTTACTTTACATTACATTTTCGGACTTTTCATAAGTCACATGACCAATCATGTGACACATCACCTGACCAGTGTCTAGGCTCACCATGTGACTGGTCACATGCTAAACGTTGGACTTTAAACTTTATTTACAACTGTACAGTACCTCATGTATTTTAGTATATATACAGGAGCAATACATGGGAAGGACTCAGCGAGTCCTCCTGTTGTCTAGCACAACAGACTGGTTGAAACCTGAGGGGTGATCCCTCTTTCTCTCTCTCTTTGCTTGTCCAAGTTGTGCGCCAGAGTAAGAAACTCTTGGTTGTTATATTTGGGGAGATGGGGACATCCCTTGGGATAAAAATTGAAAACCCCAGACATGTACCAAACATTATTTGGGAAGATGGGGATATCCCTTAAGAACTCCCAGACATGAGTTCCAACCCGTGGCTCTGCCACTGGGAGTATGCAAAGTCTGTGCCACATAAATAGTAATAATTTTCATTGGGAATATGTGTTCCTGTTCAGTTATTGGGTTTTCATTATGTATTAAAAATGATTAAGCACTCCACTACACTCACTACAAAAAACTACTGACTGCACTACAGAACTCAAAAACCACATGGAAAGACCTTGCTGAAAAAAGTGCTCCCCATGTGGCAAATTTTGGGACCACCATCCCCTTCTTTATAGACATAGAAACATCATTGGGTATAATATTTGGGAAATGGGGATATTTCTTGTACTAACTAACATTTGGGATGGTGGGGATATCCCTTGGGATAGAATTTGGAAAACAGAGACATATGTCCCTTGGGATAGATTTTGAAAGCCCCAGACATATACAGACATCCCCTAGAATATTATTTGGGAAGATGGGGATATCCCCAGGAAGTCACAAACATATTGGGACATCCCCTGGGGTAATATTTGTGAAAACAGGGACATCCCTTGTACTTACTCACAGAAAAATTGGGATATCCCTAGGGAAGTACCAGACACATAGAGACATCTCTGGAGATAATATCTGGGAACATGGGGTCATCCCCTGTACTAACACTCAGGAAGATAGGGATATTCCATGAGATAGAAACTGGGAATATGGGGACATCCCTTGGGATAATTTTTGTGAAAATAAGGAAGTCCCTGGGGAAGTCCCAAGCATACAGGGACATCCCTGGGATAAATTTGGGGAAAATAGGGATATCCCTGGGGATAACATCTAGGAAGATGGGGACACCCCTGGGGATAATATTTGGGAATATGGGGACATCCTTGGGATAGATTCAGGGAAAATAGGGATATCCCTGGGGATAACATTTGGGAAGATGGGGATATCTGATATACTAACATTTGGGAAAATGGGGACATCACCAGGGATAGCATTTGGGAAGATAGGGACATCCCATGGACCAACACTTGGGATGATGGAAACATCCCCTGGGATAATATTTGGGAAAATGGGGACACCCACTGGGATAAAATATGAGAATATAGGGTTATTCCTTGGAAAGTCTCAGACATACTCAGACATCCCTGAGCATGACCTGTGGGTATATGGGGATATCCCATGGGAAGTCCCAGAGATGTACAGATATCCCTTTTACTAACACCTGTGAAACTGGGAATATTCTTTCAGAAGTCCCTAACAAATAGGGACTTTCCCAGGGATTGATATAGACATCCTTTGAGATGACAACCAGAATTATAGGGACTTGTCCCACTTTACCTTTTTCAGCTTCTTGGGACCATAGTCTTTGTACCTCTGGTAGCACTTCTCAATTCCAGCAGTAGTCTTTCAGATGGGACTCTTCTGTAGAAGGGAAATGGTCTGAAAGACCCACCACCTGCACCTGTGAATAAAATCAATATTTAGAAATAGATTGGGCCCTTTGCAGTTGAATTTATATTAAGTAGACCAAAACCCCAAGAAACTATACATATAAACAAAGAAGCAGGGGTTTTATGGTAAGTACCAAAATTATAGAGATATTTTTGAGACAATACTCAAGGATACTTGGTAGCTACCAGGATTCTGTGATCATATCTGGGGATTGAGCTTGAGTTGATAGGACAATATCTAAAATATTATGGGGATAATAGTGTGGTTGTCCCTGGGATCACAGAGCAGTTGTCCCTGGGACAAGAGAGTAGTTGGCCCAAGGGACATACCCAGTAATTATGATAGACCAGGGAAGACCGGCATATTACGATCTCTTAGGTACATAGGTATATAGATATATATGAAGCTAAGAGGTATGTCCCAGAGGGGTGACTGAAGTAAGCTCAATGACCTCAAGACCTGGCACCGGCTTCTGAGCCCCATCGCCCTTGTCCTAGGGGTGGTATTACTTTTTCACTGCAGCATCAGGGTGGCAAAGGTACATGGTAACAACAAAGTAGTCCCTGGATCAACACAAGCAAGAATGTCAATGACATCATTGCCACTCTTTCATCTACTTGTTGGGGCTCTGACACGCACAACCCAGAAGCTTGGCTCCTGAACGTCAAGTCTGCAATCTAGGAGGGAGCATATCTTGTTGCAAGGGACTTAGTGGCAAGGACATAGCCGTCAACTTTCTTCTGATGGTCAACTTTATGCAGCTTGTCACAAAATGACAAAGGTAAGTACACTTGTTTTTCTCTCATATTCAATATTCTTCACTCATATCTCAAATTGTAGTAACAAAATACAAACAGGTCTCTCTCTCAATGGAATACACAATCAAGAAATTGCGCATCTGTCCAACAAATCCAGCAAAAGGTCGTTCCAAAGCTGGCATTCCACTGGAAGCAAGTTTGCAGCCCTTGCTGGTGGAGGCTATATATATTTATTAGTACTTATTGCTGGTCTGGGTCTTTGTGTTTCAGTTGCTGCCATGGAGGGAACTTCACCATGGGACCTTGCAAATTTGCTAAGAATACCAAAAAAAGGTAAGAATTAAAAATAGTTGCCTCTTGTACACCTCTGACAAGCTTTAAAAAGGAACCATTGAGGGAAATTTAATTATTGACCGCATCATTCCTACTATCCGTCACATGTGCCTCTCTTTGCCCATCAGCATGGCATCAATGTTCTCCCCGGCTATACTTGTGGAGCATCAGCTAGCCAATGAATTTGATTGCACAAATATCAGCTCTTCAGACCATTTTTTTGATTCTGTTATCTTCAAGTGCGTGCTATAGTTTTTAGCTTTATTGAAGTTTAATAGGATATCCTTGCTAATGACAATATATCTAGTAGCTTTGTCTTACTTGAGCGTGACTGTGTCACCTGGCAGTCTTGCTACACTTCCACTATTTGTGCTGGTAATCCAGCTATCCCTCTGCACCAACTGGGTTACAACATGCTTGCACCACTAGAACACTCATTTTTGAGTAGGCCGTACAGTCCCCCATTGACTGAAATCAATGAGGAAAAGGACTATCCTCTTCCCAACTCCTATCCATCCCACTTTCTCAGCCAGAAAAACACCATCATCATCCCTACATTTTGTAATCATTATTTGGCTGCAAACAAAGTCTTTCAGGCAGAACATGATTGCAATGCCAATGTCCTGTGGACTAAGAAGGAAAAGGAAATGACTTGTGCACACAGATATGTGGCTACACATTGGGAGCCTTATCTGATCATTTATCTGAGTTATTGTTAGCTTCAGTCTCAGTATCAAGACAGTGTAAAGGCTACATGTGAGATGTACCTGAGAATCCCAGCAAACATCATTTTGGGGTAAGTTCATTGTACACTCAAGTGTTTGGTGCCTTATCAAACTTCTTGATATCAGCCAATCACTCAATATTCGCAAATCAGACGGCTCCCTCATGGTCTTTTTTTGCACATCCCTCCCAGAATATATCCGCTCATCACTACAGCCAAAGCTCCTGGCTGCATTTGAGAATAATGAGCTGCTTACTGAGAAGCCTGGTCAACATGATGAGGATGACATATTTGAGGTGCTACACTTTTTCTGGTACAACTGTCACTGCACAAGGGTAAGTATTAATACAGTTATGTTATTCCTTTCTAGCTGCCCACTAACTTCCTTGAAAACCAGGGAGATGACACTCCAACTGAGATTTTGCCTCTCATGTTAGAGAGGGAAGATGGATGTTGTACCAACTATTCCCAGATGATCCCTTACCTGTCCAAGGAAATCAAAGATCACAACACTATTTACCAGACTATCAAAGTTGTCTTTGCAGACCTATTCCATTGGATCCATGATGTGGTAAGCTTAAATATAGTACAATATTGTGGTATCTAATTTAATAACCACCCTATCCACAAGATTGAGCTCCAGCTGCCTGAGGAGTATGAGCTATTGGCTGAAGTTGCGTCAATTTTGCCTGGCAACAATTCATCTCCAATATTCCCCTTCCTTTCACTGGTGATTAACCTCAATGTCTCTACCAAAGGTCATTGAGATAGCAAAGTCAAGGACTTCTGTCTTGTCCTTCCTATTGGTAATTTCCAAGGTGGTGCCCTTGTCACGGCCTCAACAGGTCTGGTCTTGGAATTAAGGCAAGGTGACTTCACCATCTTCAGATCTTGTGACATTATACACTTCAATCTGCAATACCAAGGCAAGAGAGCATCTTTTGTTTTCCATACTGACAAAGAGTTCTCTTCATAGGCAAAGAATAGAAATGGATGGGCAAACAATGTAGTTTGAATAGCTTAGCTTTTTGCACGTCTTTTCTTTGTGAAGTTAGTACACTTTCAGATGCTCTCACGCCAAAATTTGATGTGTGGTGATTTAATCCTCCCCATGTATTGCAGGTTCATCATCCTCCTTATACTACTTATGGCTAAAAAATCTGCTTCTAGTAAAACCAAATCTCAGAAGGGTAGGATAACAGCTTTATGAGTACTTATAGTGCTATAGAGCTCTATATAGCTACCCCCCATTTTTCCTGATGGGGTATGTTTCTATAGTTGCTATGATAGCTATTAAATTCCTATTATAGCCAATAAATTTCTATGTGAAGCCTTACAGTTACTATGTCAGCTATACCAGCTATACCAGCTCATTTAATAATGATAGAATTAATATTCACCAAATAGTTTGGTACACATACAAACTAGCCCAATTATTTAATAGAAATCTATCACAAACATCCAAAGCATTTTCTGTACCCCAGTGAGCAGGCACTTGATCTTTTCCAAATAAAGGCAACAAGTGGCAGCCTTGTTGTATACTGCTCAATGGTACTATGGAAGCTGGTGGAGTACCATCAGCTCTAAGTGCAGATTTTGTAATCACATACATCATATGTGCTGGATCTGCACTACCTTTCAACTTGGTGTACCATTCAATGTACGCCAATGGAATTTTGGGCCAATGTTTTGGTATACCAACAGAACCACCATGAAAAATGGCAGGGAGCTTGAATATTACTTTAACTCTTCCAACATGTGTACCTATGTCATAAAATATTAATTCACAACTTGAAACTGATTATGAAATTAGAAGAAAATATTACCAGCAACATCTGTTGACTCTGCTTCTAATGAGTCTAATACAACAACATTATCAAACTGTGGAGCAATTCCTTTGGAGCTAGGTCTTGCTTTGATGACTTTGTACTTTACACTTGCACTAGCATCATCTCCAAGGTGAATTGGAGTGAGTTTGAAACAAGTGAATACATCAAGTGAATCAAATGGGAGATTTGCAATATTGACTTGATTTCTGGACATATAACCTGGCTGACCGTGCATTAGGCAATTCAGAAACTCCTTGATATCACGTATGAAGCCATGACATTGGTGGTTTTGTTGAATTGATTGAAGTTGTGGAAGAGGAGATACTTTGGCTATGTTAATACCTAAGCCAGATGGATTCTGGAGAATATCTTGCTGACCTAGAACTGGTCTATTTTGTAAAGACAATTGATAGCATTCAAACCACACAGTTTTTTCTTGCCTTGTTAGCCAGGTGGTCATTTGTGGACGCTCATTCCTATGATTTGATGCTCTCCATGCATCCTTGGCCATGTCTATGTGGAAATGTTCAAACATTTCTGTGTTGTAGTTATTTGTAGCCCCAAACCAGCGAATAGAGTTGACATAGTGTAGTAGAGAGTGAAATTTAGGAATATTAAAATTTTCTCTAACACCCAGAGTGACGAAAATTGCTTTGTTTTGATGAAATGTTTTGAGAGCATCTGATAGATATCCAAGGGTTGTATCGCTGTGTGTGGGGTACTGAGCAATGTAAATAAAGTCCAAGAGTGATCATCCTAAACGTACCTTGGCCATATCTTTTCTTTTGCCTCCAGATATCTGAGAAAGAGGCGATAAACCATTTTTGAAATGCTTTGATCCATATGCAGGAGGTAAAGTGCGTATTCTTGCATCCAGTTCCTCTGTACCCATAAGATCTTGGCACCATGAGATGATATGTTTAACAACACCTTAATATAACTGATGCAAGACATTGGGGGTAATGCAAAGATGAATATCACAGTAGGGAAATCCTTCCCAAAATGGCCTGTAAACACCTCCAGATACATCTTTATCCATACATTGATCAAAAAATTCTCTCCTTGAGTTCGAAGATAAGGCTTAATTAATGACAGAGAGAGTCCAGTCAGACGTCCTAGGTTCCCCAGCTCCTTTAATTTTAAGGTCTGTTGCTGGACGCCTGCACTTGGGACATGTTCCATACTTTGAGCAAGTCACCAGACATTGCTCAGGATAGTCAGCAACATAGCAAGCAAGAATAGGGTAAAGTCTTTGAACACGTGCTGTCTTCTCCTTTGTTGTCAAGCCTTTTTTTACCAATTTATTGACAGACAGATATCCAATAAGTACACAAGCGTGCTGAGAGGGTTTGCGCATAATAAAGCTGGGTATATTGCCTAGTGTAAGATACACTGGATATGCAGACTTGTTGCCTGAGAACTGAGTCAACCGAGTTTTGTCTGTTGCTATTATAACAGGAGCAACAGATGATCCCTGAGGTAGAAGAGCCTAAAATCAAAGAAATAAGTATGAAGTTTAGAAAGGAACCACTGGCCTGAATATATTAACCTGTACAGAATGCCACCATTTCCCAGTCCACATCTCATCAAATATATGATCATCCCTGTTGCTGTTTGTGAATATTCTTGAGGGTTTATAGACTATGTCTGTCGCATGTGCTGGATTGCCCAACAAAGAAGCAATGACTTGTAAGGGGTCTCTATATTGTTTAAGGTGTTTTTCTTCTGGACAATCATCAAAGTGTAGATATTTTGAGTGCCACTTGGCCCTTTCAGGAATTTTGGAGTTGATAATTTTTAGAAGGCTTCTGCTATTTTGATAAAAAAGGCCCAGTCTCTGGGAAAGCTGGCATAAAGGTTGGAGGTCAGTTAACATAAAACATGAATCAAAGTGTGGAGGCGTCACTCACTTCAGGAATTGCCAGTAATCTCTCAAGAGATTTCTGGCCAACCCCCTCCTGCAATGCCCAATGTGCAAATTTCCAGTCCAATTCTGTGGAAAATGGAGCCCATCTATTATCTGGAAGATCAATGTCCATTTTATTGTCATCTTGATGGAACTGGTGAAAACTCTCCCTCCATTTATTATGAGCATCCAGATCCACCCTTATAACCTTGCCAGCATTCTCATTTTGCTCCACTACTCTTTCATCATCATCATCATCATCATCCAGATTAAAGTGCAGGGAGTGGGGGTGACATAAACTGCTAGCCTGCATCCCTGGGTCAGGGTTCAAGTTATCCTGGGTGTTGCCTTGCATCAGGATCATTCAGGAAATTGTTAAATGGTTCTTGTAAGCTGTTGAGGAATATATCTTCTGACCCATCTGAGTCATAGTCTTCTTGGTTGTTAACATTTTCACCCAAGTTGACTTCATCAAATACTACTTGGGCCCAGGTTGTCTGCCTCAAGTTCTCTCCCCTTTCCTTTCCTATACCAAGCACACATTGCTGACATTGATAGGTGAGCCATGACACCTTGCGGTGTTTTCAAAAGTTTTCCACATACAGGACATGTGTGATCAACCATACTTGGTATGTGTGCCATTTTCTCCTTGAACCTAAACTACACCATACACATCCAGTCAGTTTATGAAATAATAACACCAGTTAATATGAAATTGATACCTTTGATTATCTAGGACCCATTTGTAAATATGCTGTCAAGACGCAACACCTCAATCTGCACCGGCAATATCCCAAATTGGAAATATGTAGTGGTAAAACATAGAATTTGCTTGTTCTAATACAAATAGAAGTTGTACATGTTTAAGTACAATATTGTTTACAAGCACAGAGTACATGAACAAGAGAAGTAATACATATAATATTGTCCATGTCTGTTTTTCACTTCCTCCTTGTGATATTGTTGCTGGAGCTACCTACACCCAATTTCTGTCGAACAAGCCGACCCACTTTTTCGTCAGAGTGAAAAGGACTTCTTCTCCTAGCTGCCTTAGCACGACTTGGGGGGCATTATAATGATCCTGAAAATGTCTATGTGCCAGATCAGCTACAGATCCTTGAAAAGCCTGAAGAAAATCGCCAAAATCCATCTGGATATCAAAGACTGAGAGATCAATGGGAGATATCTCTTTAGGCAATATTTGGGGGTGCAAATGGGGAGTAGGTAGAGTAGTAGTGGGGGTGCGCAAATGGGTACCAGTTGTTACGATAACACAATTTTTGGACCTTTCCTTCATTTTCATTCTCCGCTTTAACCTTGTATACTTTAGCTTTCACACATGGTGCCACGCAGCACTTCCCCTTTTGTTCAAAACACCTCTTTCTCGTGCCGCATTGCCTTCTTCTTATTTTAGATACAACTCTCTCACACAGTGGAGCTGGTCATGCGGGCTAGGCCCCATGACATCGTCAGCCACTGACTTTATCAACTGTACAGTATATAAGTACAAACACTCTGTATTAGTATATATACCCCAATAGATCCAGGAGACTCCTCAGCGAGTCCTCCTGTTGTTAACCAACAAACTTCCTGCAGCCTAAGGGGTGACCACTCCCCATCCACTACCTTTATAGTGTGTTCCTGTGTGCGCCAGAGTAACTAACTCTTGGTTGTTACACCAGTCTGAAGAGGACGACCAGTGCGGTTTGCTATCAAATCCTGGGTAGCAACCTTTAGCGCTGCTATCTGAGCAGCTGCACTTTCAGCTTCTAGGTTAGCAACAGTCTGGAGTGCACTCCTCATAATCTTCTCCATCTCTAAAATTGACCTGGTAATAACACAATTGAAAACTTTGTTGAATTTGTCTTTCTAGGCTTGAGTGGGATAGAGTTGGCCCACATCTATATCAGGTACCACCCTCTGTACATATATTATATTAGTCAAAGAAGGTTGTGATCAAGAGGGGATGCACCAGTACTATGGGTGTAGGAAGATCCCGTGCATAGCCCTCCTTCCCTACAACCTTTGGGTCCTTTTCATACAGGTACATATCCACCACAAATCTACCCACCCATGTTATGCTGTCAGCTGTCCTCAGAGGGCTATATTTGATATTGTTGTCCTTTTGTAAGTTGTACCAATACTGCATGTTGACGGGTTCAGCATACCCATATTGGGGCTTTGCATATTTGTGGGACTCGTAGAATTTGACCACTAGAATGCCAACAAGGTGGGGGAGCTCCTCCCAGTACCTTTTCACCTTCTGGGTAGGACATACCCTGGACCACGTCACTCCTGGAAAACAACCACAACGATCCCTCAGAATGAGCAAAAGTCAGTCCCAGAAATCTAACAACCAAGAAGTAAAAGATGAAGGAGAGAGTGTCAGTCAGAGCAGTAGTGGCAATGCCATTGGACCAAGATCAAAACTACAGCCCTTATCAGCTACATCAAGAAACATCGCGCACAAGGAGGCGATGGCCTCAACTTTAGGAGGGCATTTTGGCCAGGGGTGGCAGCTGGCATTGCACCTCTTCTTGCAAAAGGACCAGCAAAATGTGCGACTTGCTGTGGTTCAGAATGGGGCAGGGTTTGTAGATAGATATTGTACCCCGCTGTACACTGTTTGCTAACAAAAATCATGTGTTAATGTAGCTCCGTACCAAATATAATGAAATCAGTGCAATTGCAAACTTATCTGGTGTACCGTGGGACAACAAACTAGGGTTGAATATACTTGACAAATGTGAAGCGGTCTGGGCAGAAATTGCTGAGGTACGTACCTGATTTTTTACCTGCATGGGGAGGAGTCTGAATCAGCATCAATATGTAGAAAAATCAGAGAGCAAAAGCATACAAGAGGGAGGGGTGGGTGGGTGCATTATAGCGCTATGCAGGAGCTGCTGGGGGGTCAGCATTCCAAGGGCTTGAATGCCTTTTGAACCCCTAGAGTACCCCAAGCCCCAAAAGTGTCGAAGACATCCACATCCACCACCCAGGTATCTAGTCTGCCTGTTTCTGCCACCACAAGTTCTACCATGTCTATTGCACGTACACTTGCTGTGCCTACCGTCTCTCATGCAGTGCCCGCTGTTGTGGCTGCTACACCTGCCATCCCTTGTGCAGCTGTGTCTGACATAGCCGCAAAAGGTCCTCCTGGTTGCATCAACAACTGGCTTGGCGGCCTTCCCTCCCCAACTTCTGCAGCTGTGCTTCCTCTCATGAGTTTGACCACTTCAGCTAGCAGCAAGCGCTCGGCTCGAGATGCTGAGATTGACATTGATGAAGGTGCAACTGTCATCTCCCACAGCAAGAGCGCTGGTGGAAGCAATTAAAGCCAAGGTTCCAACAAATCCCCATGTAATACCACTGCCAATGCACTCATTGGCCTGAACAACAGACTTGGTGTTACAATTGACGTACCAGTACCTACTCACACTTTACTTTTTGTACTTTACTTTTACTTTTTCCAAGTCACATGACCAGTCATATGACCATTTACTTTACCTTTCATTTTTGGACCTTTCCTTTAAATTTCATTCTCTGCTTTAACCTTGTACTGTAGTTTTCACACTGTGCCATGTGGCATTTTCCTTTAGTTCAAACTCCACCTTTCTCACGCGGTGCTGCCTTTATTCTTATTTTAGCTACAAGTATCTCACGCAGTGGAGCTGGTCACACGGGCTAGGCCCCATGACATCAGCAGCCACTACCTCTAGCAACTATACAGTACATATGTACAAACAAACCTGTATTAGTATATAAGCCCCAATAGATCTTGGGGAAGGACTCAGCAAGTCCTCCTGTTGTCTACCAACAACTAACTTGTTTCTACCAAATGGGTAACCACTCCCACCTCTTCCTCTTCTTTTGAGTGTTGTTTTTATTGTGCTCCAGTGCCCCAAGACTGTGTCTTGTTGGTGTTGTCACACTTGGCAAGTTGCTCCCCATCATGTGGGACTTCAATACTAAACTAGACATTGGCCTAGGTACGGAAGCTCCCTTTGCTCCCCCTGCTCCTCTTCCCAAAGTCTCCCAAAGTCTCCCAGCCAGAAACACCTGTTCCAAACCCAGAACATGTCCGTTGAAGCCATACCATCTCTGCTGTGTTGAAGAACAATCAGTACCTGGGAGTAGATGATTCAGTCAAACTGTTTCAAATTTTTGAGCATGATATTGTAGTTGTAGATACATACCTCAGCCTTTTGCAGAATGATGGGTTTTGCCATGTCTATGTTTGCTCAAGGCTTGCTTAGTTACACCGCCAAAAGTGTCGTACCCCAGCAGAATATACATTGGAAACTGTGTGTCAATTATTCATCTGGTTTTTAATTTGTACCAAATTGGGTATCTTGTGTAGATAGAAAAAAACTCTTTTGTTAGGCTTTGGCCCAATTATTGTAGATAGGATCAAAATTTTGCATGTATACATCCCATTCTAGAGATGTTGTCTATCCCGGAATTATGTATTCTACATGATTTTCTCACAATGTACAAAACAATTTCAAATCCTATGTATAGCAGATATAGACGTTCAAAACTTTGTCAGATATACCACTGATATCAATGTGATCAGTTTCGCCTCATGGTGATCACATCAACTGATCTGTCTGATCAAACATCCCACATTCACTAATCTACACTCTCAATCACTCCATGTACGAGACAGCTAGCAAGAATCAAATTTGCATGACACCGCAATACAATGCAAACATTATCAACCACAGCAAAGACAAGATGACAACAGCAAGGGCTACTTTACAAGAGGGTGCGGATACATCACTGCTGCATGACTAACAAAAGCCAACCAAATATCATCTAAAATGTTCATCTGAACATCCATTATCAGAGATGACGACTCCCAAGGTCCGACTCAAAATCAACTGACAGGACCAACCAGTCTTGGATGGTGTATGCAATGGCCCTCCACTGATTGGAATCTGTGAAGTTGAAAGTTGATGCAAGGGGGAAAAACAGTAAGTCAGTGTTTTTTGGAGTTGATCCAAAGTGTTCGGCCTTTGTGCATGCCAACTGGAGGGGTAGATCAGTACATGCAGGCAGGTAGTCTTGGCATAGTATTTACTTGTTCAGACAATTTGGTATCTGGGTCCTTGAAGATATTTAGTGGCATTGTACGCAGAACGGGCAATATAAAATTTCCTTACTCGCGGGGGATGGAAACAGCGATCTTGAGAGGCTAAAGGAAATATTGGAGGTGAGCCATATCAATTGGTTTTATTTTGTTGAAGTTGTTGACTTGCCACATTGGCTCTTGGAAAATTTCGAGGCAACGAGCCAACAAAGCACACTGAGACCAGGAACGGTTGGAGGCATGCCTGCTCTCTTCCCCTATGGAGTAAGTCAGGATACACTGTAGATGTGGTTATTGTGGTTGACATTGCTGGTCTTTTTTTACAGGGAATGTCTTTGGCAGACATTTGAATGTGAGGCAGCGTGAGGTGCGGACCAAACTGTAAAATAAATCCAAATAAAGAACTTCTCCACGTGATCACAACACGTCCATTCAATACAATCCTGACACTTGACTGTGTGTCCTGCCATCCAGCCCCTTGTTGATAGCATGCCAAGGACACAAAAGGACCTGGACGCTCAAGGTCAGTAGATTTGCAAGCTGGAATATTAAACTGACAGCATATTCTCATACCAGTTTTCCAATGCCTTTCGGCTGGCAGAGTTGCATGTCTGGCATGCCCCAAACGTAAAAATGTCTACCATACCATGGTTGCAGCGCATGTTTCCGGCCACAAGAAGACACAGCTACATAAAAGACATGCCAGCTACCTCCTGGAAGGCCATATCCCATCATCTCTTCTCACCTCTGCTTCTGTATCTACATTATGCAAGTCAGCTCACCCACTGGAGTTGAGGCAACAATCATCACCTGAAAACCAACCATTTGAAGACTACGGTATGTTAGATGAGGGTATGTGGCTCTACAAGTACCCCACAACTCACAAACTGATGCCTTATGCTCAGATTCAGCTGAAGTCCCTCTCTTGCAGCTGTGGGATGACACTTTGAGTGAACGCACAGTTGATCTGGATTCCTGGGGTGGCAACCTCTATGAAGAGTTAGAGCAAACATTTTTGGAGGATTCAGACGAACCTCCTTTTACATAGGCCCCCTTGGACGATGAACTCGCAATTGAAGACGACTTGATTGACATGGTTCTTCCTGAGTCATTCAGCATAGAAGTACGAGGTAAGTTTTGAACAGTCACATTTATTAATATTACACTGACACTTTCTATACTAGAACAGACAGGCTCAATTCCTTCATCCAACCATAGCAGCAAAGTCCCCAAGAACTCGCCGTATTATCCTTGGCCCTCGCTTGCGATATGTAGCATATTTTCTCCTCTTTTTGACTTCATCTCATTGTTTTACGTTCTTTGTCAGATGTTTATTACTAACCTCTTCTTTAGCTCACCCCGTCTCTGATTTTCCAAGGCTCAGAAGAGTACTATTCTGGATTGGGCCAGAGAGCTCAATACACTGGATGTACCCTCACTCAATGCCCTTCAAAATACTCAAAAAAATATCAAGGAACTAGTTGGCAACCCCACAAGCAAGATCACTTCAAAATCCGGCAACATTTTTTACCTGAATGATGTCGCAAAAGCAATTGCAAAGGTTATATTTTTTCTGTTCAACAGTATTGGTTTTGCTCCACTAACTTAAGTAGGATTATGCTAATCCCGTAACACGTTTCTCCATGCAAGATTATCCTGAAGACCCTGGAAAAGGAATGGCCGAAGTATTCCACGGTGAGAAGATGCTCTTAGAACTCCCCTCGGAGATCACACCACCTGCAGTCCGCATTGGGGAATCAATCTATTTTGTTAATGAGTTACTTCAATGTGACACCGGTCAGTACTTCATCCCTCAACATTTTTTCACAGATATGCCTCCTTCTGGTCCTCAATCAGCAAAGTCGAAGAGCATATTCTCCCTTGGGAACTGTGTTGAGCGCACAGAGGTGAAGTCTTAATCCTCATTACATATTTATAACTGACTTTATACTTCTGTTCATTAGATTGGATTTGTTGTTGATGATGAACAAGTCATCATTGCCATGACATCTTTTGCACGTGCATTTGATAGTATTGCTTTGAATGGCAATGAATTTGCTTGCGGATTTACAGGCAAGTTTAAAGACTTCTTGGTTGCTTGCTCACCCATTTGTTTCATTCTTGCAGACTCTTCAGCCAAGTATTCTCAACTTATGCCAAACCCATGGTGTGCCAAGAGTGGTGGACATATGGTTTATTCAGTACCACTCATCATCTTCATGGATGATGTCTCAGGTAACATCTCAAAACAGTGGAATAAGCATCACGCTATCTACATGTTATGTGCTAACATGCCCCGGGAAATGATAGAAAAAGAATTTTATTTGTGTTTTGTAACATCATCCCTGCACGCAACCCCTATGGAGATGATCCATGCCATGAAGGAGTCTATTCTGTAGGGTACTCTTTATTGTTCTATGTAATCAAGGACTGATATAAGATGGTGTATAGTGAAGCTGCAAAAACTGGGGTAATCGCTTGGGATTGTAAGTATAGTGAGGAGGTTATGTCAGCACCATATGGGCTATTTTGGGCTGGCGATAATCCCATGCAGGCTGGAGAGTGCAGTTAAGGAGGCCTAAGATGTAACTTTTTCTGCAGGACCTGTGAAGTTGGCAGAACAAAAAAATACAAAGCCTTGGCTGAGGGCTATAACACTCTCTTTGAGGTAAGTAGTTTTTTATTCTCATTTACTAATGCTAACACTTATCACACAGCCTGGTGCACTTTGGACACCGGCTGACACTCGGGCTTGCATCCACAAACAATTTGACCACACAAAGCAATCTGGAGGCACAGCCAAAGTTAAACAAGATATATTGATATATTATCAACGGGAGTCTGCAATTCAACGTTGTAATCAATTATCAACTCTCTTCTGGAGATAGGGGAAAGTCTACGCAAACATCAAGGCCCACAAACATCAGAAAACAGGGAGGTACAACTTTAGAAGCGTATCAATCCATTGTTGGGAATGCCAGGTAAGTACCAATTTGGCTCTGATTGTATGGTCTAGCTGATTCATTCCGGAGGCGTAAATATTCACCTGGATATGCCAACTGAGGTTCTCCATACTGTTTTGCTTAGTGTGGTAAAGTATTTTGGGGGCCAGACAGTCTTCCTCCTCAACAAGTCAAAGAAATTGGATCCATTAATAGGCTAGCTTGTTTTGTTAATATGGCACACACAAATTGATGATACTGAAGTCTACCTAGTAAGCATACTTTCTTGCTTGTTGCTTCACTGTTAATCCTTGTTTTTTCTTCAGGCCAAACTGTCACAAACAATTGAAGATTTTCTCAATGTTACCGCTCAGTGTGCACCGAGCATATTGATAAGCAAACCAAAACTTCATTTTCTTGTCCACCTCCCTGCTTACATTTAATGTTTTGGTCCAGCTATATTGTTTTCTACGGAAAAATATGAATCATTCAATTGGGTCTTTCATCTGGCATGCATTTTCAGTAACCGCCAGGCACCAAGTTGTGATACATGTAATGTATTTGCAGATCAAGACATCTTCAAGCACGTAGTTTCTGGTGTTAGTTTTGGTGATTCTGCACCTTTGTGCTACCTATATATTTTCATTCCTTTCTCTATCTATTCTTCTATCATTCACTATTGATTGTGTTCTCTATTATTTCGCCTTTGTGGCTGCTTTGTTTACCTTTGTTTACAAAACTTCGGACAGTACTGCAGAGTCCAATGCTTCCTATTCTCTAGTTACTCACATTGGACTCTAGGTACTGTATACCTGTCATACTCTCTAATAATCTAGTTACTCACATTGGACTCTAGTTCCAGTCCCTGATTGCTCTCAGCAAGTGGCTAGACACTTCCTTCAAGCTTTGTTCTTAATATCTGGGGGCTATTGGTATGAGTCTAAGGAGAAGAAGTGGGTCCAAGCTGGACAGGGTATACTGGAATATATGGCTGATCACCCCCGAGTGTTAGTTTTGGTGATTCTGCACCTAGTTGTGCTATCTATTTTCCCTTCTTTCTAAATCACTTTCCTCTTTATTATTTTTGCTCTATTGTTCAGTATACACTGAGCATTCTATAATTTCACCTTTGTGGCTGATTTGTTTACCTTTGTTTACAAAACTTCGGACTAGTATTGCAGAGTCCAGTATTCCTATTCTTTAGTTACTCATACTGGACTCTAGTTCTGCCCCTGTTAGCTCTCAGCAAGTGGCTAGACACTTTCCAGAAGTTCTCAATTGAACACCGAGTGCATCAGTTCTTAGGTTGGTTGATGGAAAAAGAGGGGAAGGCTGGTAAGGGAATGGTTCTTAGGAGCCATGATGAACACGGACACTCAGTCAAGGCAGAACCTGTACTATGGTCAACAACACTGTGCGCAAGTATAGCAGGTGCTGGGGCTGGACCACAAGATAATTGCATCTATCAAGGGACATCTTTAATAACATCTGAGGGTGATATAGTCTCACCTAACACTTCAGGCAGCCAAAAAATTGGGGCTCTTAGCTTGATCATCCTCATCAAAAGGTTGGGGCTAAGATCCCCCTTTTCATGGTCTACCTATAGCCATTAGGGATCAGACCTATTTGACATGGGATAGTCCCATCTATTTACATAGGTCCTGTCCCTATACATAGGAATATCCCTTTATATGGTGTGTTATCTGTAATCATTTATTTTATTTTCTCATAATCATATCCCAAAAACACACCTACTCTATTATCTTTACATTTTGTAATTCTCATTAGCACACATAATCTAATAATATTTTGTCCCACATTAGTCCAGCAGGTGATACTGCCTTAACAAACTGGACAAATGCAACATGAAAAAATCTACTTATATCTGGTTTCTAATAGACCTTGAATAACTTGAATTTCATTGACAATAAGAAATTAGGCCATATAACTATCTCTTATCTAAAGGCAGAATATGGTAAACTACCTAAATAACTTTTCAACAAGTTTTTGACATTTAGTCTTGTTACTTGGTGAATACATAAACATAGTTCACCTATATTGCCTTGTTTGTTTCTCTCTACTTGTTAACTCATCAGTTAAAATCCAACACTATTTTAAATTTTATCCCAAGTGAAGAAAGAGCCTATGCCATACCATGTATTAAATTGTATATTCTCCCACATGTATAAAAGTCTCATTCTATATGCACTTGGACATTGTCCCACATGTATAGAGTAATGTCTTATCCAATATCACTGTGGGGATTGACTTATATAAGCCCAGCTTATATGCTGAAAATATTCAATTTTAGCTTTTTTCAGCCAATCAAAACGCAGATAACCAATATCTTCAGCATATAAGCTGAGCTCATATAAGCCGATACCCACAGTGTATGTACTTAAGTCCCATCTTATACATGTTTAGGTCTAGAATAAAGCCTTATGAGGTGATATGTTTGAGGTACTATTTATGAGACCATGTTACCTAGGCAGAGTTCATATTGTTAGGGAGGACTATGGAGGGCACCATTGTGTATTTAGAATATCATATCTTCAGTTGGGGAGAACCATAGAAAAATCCTATGTGGCTTTGGAAGATCTGAATTTGCTCAGCAAAAGTTATACAACCATACAGCCACATAAAATCAAAATTTCATTAATTATCCCTTTCCCCAAGATTTCCAAGCCAACTAAGCATATAAGTGACAAATAAGAGAGTTGCTTATTGCATATATTAGTGTCTTAGTATCAAACTAGTCTAATATATACTAATATCTGGGATGTGACCTACATAACTACCCCATATACACAGCTAAATCCACTTGGGATAACTTCAATAAGCCTAACTTAAAATGGCCTGTCCCATATTAGATTTTAGCATGTGACCTCTAAGTGTGACCTGACCACAGGGAGTGCATAAAAGTAAAGTGGACCAGCTGGGGATTGAGCCCAGGACCTCTACCTATATATAGTGGTGCTCTACCAACTGAACTACCAGCCTTTGTCCAATACCAACTCAGGATGTATGTTGTCTAACAAGGCTAATAGGATTTGACCTTGACTATTCTAATATCCCAACCTTTACTTGTCAGCTTTGATTATCTAGTAAAGTCCAATGGCTTAGCACTTGGGAGCTAATAGGCACTAATAGTGAGTGAAGAATGAGGATTTTAGCAATGACAAAGACACTGGTGGAGAACAAATAGAAAGAACTTATCTGAGTGAGAACATTTTGCAGATGACTAATATTTTCATCAACCTGACTGGCAAGAGAAGTAGCATAAGCAAAAAAAGTGCTGTCCTAGTTTGAAATTAGTGATAAGTTACAGCTGATTTGGAAAACGTTGGCTGCGCCAACTTTGTCTCTTGCGTCTGTTCTAGCTTAGTAATATGATCTGAATTCCAAAAAAGGAAATAAGGTGGAATCTCTAGTATGTACTATAGCGTGCTGCAGCCTGCAGTCTAGCATGTTCCTTGTAGTATAAAGTCCCTACTCTTTGCTAATGAGAATCTCGTCACATTGTTAGGTGCTGCCACTGCCACTCTTTAGAAATGATTCCCTACACTCAAGAACAAAGCTCCCTGCTGCTGCCATGTCATGATCTTGCTCCAAGGTTGTAAGTGCCGTTTTACCCTTCTCGTTTTGTGAATCATTGACTTACAAGCTAATAATAGTGATCCTAACACCATCCCTCCCATGGATAGCCTGGATGAGGCCGATATTCAAGCCATCTACCCACCATATCCGCTGGTGCATAGGCCACCAATCAAACCTGCTGTTCTGTCAATCAAACTGGCCATTCTCATCCCTCTACCCCCTGCTCCTGCTCCAGCCCCTGTCCGTTGCACAGGCCGCTCAGATTGAAGGCGAGGACAAGTATGATTAGGAAGTTGAGGGTGGACTGACTACAGAAAAGGTGATTATAGTATTAAGAACAAAGCTTGAAGGAAGTGTCTAGCCACTTGCTGAGAGCTATCAGGGACTGGAACTAGAGTCCAATGTGAGTAACTAAATTATTAGAGAGTATGACAGGTATACAGTACCTAGAGTCCAATGTGAGTAACTAGAGAATAGGAAGCATTGGACTCTGCAGTACTGTCCGAAGTTTTGTAAACAAAGGTAAACAAAGCAGCCACAAAGGCGAAATAATAGAGAACACAATCAATAGTGAATGATAGAAGAATAGATAGAGAAAGGAATGAAAATATATAGGTAGCACAAAGGTGCAGAATCACCAAAACTAACATATAGTCTGGTGTACTAGTTTAGCATACTCATCACAATGATTCAGCGGAAGCTAGACGACGAACTAGAGGATTTAGCTAGTAAAGTACTGAACAAATAAAAGCCTGGCTTGTGCGTTATGCATGAGAGCATCGCATGTTTCCACCATTGGGCCAGTGACCTACATTTTGAACTGACATACCCCCACTGTATGGTTTGGGCCGCTGCTATATTGAAAGGTGATGCTACACTTGAAAAAATCCCTACTGGATCACTGTTGTTCAAAGCAAAACAAGCGTTGAAGGTACATACCTTGACAGAAAAGAGGCCCCCCCATCTCCTGCTGCAAAAGCCACCACCGCACCACTCCCATCCTCAATACAATTTCCCTACTTCAATCCATCTGCTAATCCTCTTGCATTCTCTCCATTTGTTGGTTACAACCCTCTAACTGCTTTTCCAGTGGGATTTGGTATGCCAATGGGTGGAATGTGTGTGGGAATGAGTGTGGGAATGGGTGCGGGAATGTGCATTAGTCCAGGAATGAGTATGGGCATGCGTATGCATGGTGTAGAGTCGCATTTTGTCAGATTCAGCCCACAAAAAGAAAAAATTGAAGAAACAAACCATTTGTCATTCCCGCTAATCAACTCTTGCAGCCTCTTGTAACCGGTCTTGAATTTTGTCCAGGTACATCTCTGGGGTGTCTTCAAGCAGCACATATATCCTCTTGGCTTGGTTTGCACCAAGGATATATGGGCGGCCTTGACTGGGGTATATAGGAGGTGCTACAGAGTCAAATGCTTCTTGATTGGCCTGCCGGTGGCAAAGGGAACGCTCAAAGATGCCAAAAATGTTGCAGATGTCAGATAGGATGTAGTTATGCTCTATTAACCAAAGAGTGCGCTCCTTGATATCCTTGCTGATCTGTCTGTAGGGCATGGTAGTCAATAGCAAAGTGTTATTGATGGGTTACATGTTTGCAGCTGCTGGGATTCCACGTTGTTTCCATCTTTGGAATTCAGATCATATTACTAAGCTAGAACAGACACAAGAGAAAAAGTTGGTGCAGCCAATGTTTTCCAAATCAGCTGTAATATTAAACTGAAACTGTGGTTTCTATAGATTTTATAAACCAGATTAGGGCTTAACTAATAATAACTAAATAAAACCCATCTATAACCAAACTGTGGCAATGCTATAAACAATACCCTGGAGCCAACAACAGTACAAAATTCACCATTTTAATAAAGCTATCATTTTAAATGTATAAATACTAAGAAATATACACCAAAACCATAGCATTTGGATCCTCAAAGAACAAGTCCACAATTACAGAAGTTGAGGATCTTACTACCAAAATACATTTGCTAAATGTTGGTGACCCTATCCATTCAGTGTGTTATATTTGTCTTATATGCTTTATACTTATAGCTATATAAGTGTAGCTCCTACTTTTATCTCAATATCACTGTAGCAATATTTTCAAACAAAATTTTCCACTGACAACCCAGGAATATCCTTACAAAACCCAGTCAAACTTACCTAACTGCCACTTCTAAAATTCTTCTAGCTATTACATTTGGGACTATAGTGTAATCTGGGAATGTATTTATATATATATAATCATCTGAGAAAGGCAATATCTTCAAATAACTAATAGAATAGCTATTCCTTTGAATTCTAGAGGACCTGAAACCTCATTTGATAAACAATTCAGAGGACCACTCAACAATATATCTGCAGCTAAGCCAACGACTCCTTAAAATGCTAGGTCTGCCCAAATCTGACAACATCAATATTTATTTTTCAATATTGTTGACAATAAGCTACTATGGTCACTGTACAAGATAAGTGAGATAAAGATCAGAGTGCAACTACACTAGCTACATAAATGCAAATGCACCCAGTCCAAGAAAAAAATGACAAAAGACTAAATAACAGTCTAACTAGAAAAGACCTATATGCTACTAAAACCAGTACCCTTGATTTCATCTCCACAGATATTCTCAGTCACAATAAACTCATACTGATGTTTATATATGAATTCAAGGTAGCGAGGTCAGATATATAAAAAACATGTTTATAAGAAATTACTGAACATAGTGGTCTATAGTGTCACCATTGTGTATTAGCTTCAACTTGTGGAAGGAATTGGTTGACAACTACAATACCCAACAAAATCTCTTATCAACACCTAGAGCATAAATCAATGCTATTATGCTAAAAGGCTCCTCTACTCCCACTAAAAGTGGAGCACACTACATCTTTATAGAAGTCAGAAGTCAACCTCAATGTAATTCATCAGGAACTCCACTTTTTGAACAAACAATCAGAAATTTTCATCATATATGGGGATCTCCAGAACAAAATGATTGTAGTAACCAACAAATAGGTATGAGAATGCAGATAACCAGCAGACCTTCTCAACTTATGGTTGGATGTTTGAAAATGCTGAGAATTGATATTGAAGGAATCAAGACTTAAGTCCCTGTAATAATACTGTAGACCTTCAATAATGCCAGGACCCAAATCTGTACAATGTTACATCATCTTTAGTGCCACACTCAAAGGTTATCCACTATTACTGCTGCCCTTATCACTGACAGGCCTTAGAAAGAAATATCAAGCTCCCAAGTAATGCCTAGGTCTCATCCCATATGCACCTAGGTCTCATCCCATATGCACCTAAGTCTTGTCCCATATACATCTAGGTCTCATCCCACATATGCCTAAGTCTTGTCCCACATACACTAGAGCTTATCCCATATGTGATTAGGTCCTGTCCCATATGCACCTAGGTTAAAACAATTCTCTCCAGAAAGTATTCTATAATTGCATCAAAAGTTACTTATTGCTCTATTAGCTTTAAAAAATGCAAATGCTTATTTTATTCTGTGTTTTGCTATGCTGTACCACTGTATAGTTCCTATTTTGGCTAGATACATATTTCCATCATTTTCCACACTCAAATCTCTCCTGTATTACTTATTATTATCCAATTCACTTCTCAATTAATTGTCCACACAATCCATATAGTCCATATAATCTGTATTTAGTCTGCACCATCTACTTTCAGTCCACCCAATCCACATAGTGCACACCTGTGGGAATTATTATGTAACCTGCAGATTAAATAGCTGGCATTTGTGGTCTTATCCCATTAGATGTCTGGCACCAGGTGAAATGTGATATTTGAAGGGACTATCCCTATGTGTATAGGGATGGGACCTATGATAATAGATGGGACTGTCCCATGTCAAATAGGTCTGGTCCCTAATGGCCATAGGTGACAAATTATGACATTTGTTTATAGTATGAGAAAACATGCATTGGCTAGGGCTTGAACCTGGGACTCCAGCTTTCATGGTCTGGTGCTTTACCAAGGCGTACTTAGAAAGCATACTGATTGGTTGCATGCCCAGAAGGTCCAGAATCACTGTACACGGGTGCCAATCCCATTGTGTTGTGATAATAGGTAGACCATGAAAAGGGGGATCTTAGCCCCAACCTTTTGGTGAGGATGATCAAGCTAAGAGCCCCAATTTTTTGGCTGCCTGAAGTGCACTTGAGGGTCACATATTTTACCAACAAGAGGTGAGTGTTGTTGGATGTTTTGCTAGACCATTATTAATGATGAGTATAGGACTGTTTACAAGTACTACTAGGATGTGTATGCAAAATATTAATTGGGGCAAATTTCCGTGGGACACCTGATAAAGTAACGCATATAGCAATACAAGATTTTGAGTTTGCACTGGCTTTACATTCCCAACTTCACCAGCCTTGTCTCAAACTGACTGACACAAAGTATGTCATGAAACCTAAAGTAAGTCTGTTTGTTTGTTGTACATTTATACATTCAATATATGAACTCTAGGACATAATATGCATAGCAAATATACAGCACAATTGCATCAACTCCAATTGTGCTACATTACGTGAAACACAAGTACAGCAAGAGCGCATTGAGACAACTTGTACAAAATCCGTAACCCAGCACCAGCCCACAAATATTTACATACTCAATACTTATTCCATCCATAACTACCACCATATACAGTCTGTTATCCCTGATCCTCTCAGAAATGTTGAACATACTGCAGGCAGCAACAAACATTTCAGAAATTTGTGCCATGGCTGTACAGCAGATTAAGCTGAAGAAGGCAGCTCAGAATAACAAAGACACTACTCACTCTTCAAATGAATTACCGATATTTGATTAGTGTAGAAATACACCCAGAGCCACTCAGAAGAAGAGAGCCAATCATTGAACCACCGACTCTCCACACCCATCAGCACCAGCACCGGCACCCCTATTGTATCCTCCGAACATGCCAGGACCTTCCCATTTATATCCACCCATACACTACCCTCCAAATGCACCACTCTACCCTCCAAATACGCTGTCAGGACCTTTGCACATGCCACTCTACCCTCCAAACATGCTAAGACTGCCCATACACTACCCTCCAAATATGTCAGGAGCTTTGCCCCATTCGCTCTACCCTCACTCACCCTTACAATATCCTATGATGATGTTGCCGCCACCAACTTCACAATTGCTTTTACCATATCCCATGATCATGATGATGCCTCCACCAAACTCCCCACAAATGTAGACTGTCAACTATGTGTGATTGTATATCCAAGAAATTCTGCTGTGGTATGGTTGGTAGACAAAACCTTACAGCGTAACCTGAATTGCCGCTCACCTTCCTCAAGTGGAGATATTTTTCTCTCTTGCAGCTCTCAAGTGTTTCTGCAGTCGGGTCAGCAGAGGCTGTGACTGTGGGACTTTTGACTTTGCGGAGGCGAATAAGATTGGTTCGGCAGAGGGTCAAAAATTTCAAAGTGACTTGCATGTCTCTTTCTCTCTTGTCAACGACCATCTAACAAACTTGCAGGTTAACATGATGTCCAGTTGGTTTTGATTTGTACCTTCACAGGGATCTGCAAATAAGTCTGATCGCATGCACTCAGCGACATCAAGCAGTACAAGCAGTTCAAGAGCTTCTAGTGCCGGTGGGGCACAACAAGGTTGTCGTTCACTTGCAAGTGTACCAGGAGGATGTCTGGACTGTCTGGCCAGCACCCCATCCTATCAAACTAGTGGAGTTGATGCCAATCTCCCAGCTATTTCATCAGACGAAGAGGTTGTAACACCACCTCCATCTCAATATTGCACTTCTGTTCGCAGAAGTCAGGCTGACAACGAGGATACTTGGGCACTTGCACTCACACCAAGGAAGACCAAGAAGCTGAAGATATATGGATCAGAGCTGTGCACTGAGTTAGGCTTGCCAGAAGGGAGTCTGGACTCATTCATTGGCATGCGTGACCCCATAGTATGGTATTTTACTTGCTAACACATTTTGACAGCTTGAATATATTTTTCACATGCTTCTGCACATCAAGGCTCACTTGATCACCAAGGAATCAACCCAGCAGCTTGGCAAATATAAGGAGTTTCTTGAGTCTGCCGACTTCAAAGTATGAAGTTTCTTCTTTCTTTTGTTTTTACTCTTCATTTCAATATCACAGGCTGTAATGACAGATCGCGCTATAGTTTGTATCATATCACCAAACATCTCAGCCTATGTTACTGAGATGTCAAAGCAAACAATGGTATGATTTTGGCAAGATATTTGTTCACTTTGCTAACTTATTTCACTTTTCTTAGATCTTCATCAAGGCTAATCCGACAATATTCAAGGTCCCACCAGGTGTATTTGAAGACCCTGAGCTCTATGAGTTGCTAGGCAGTATTGTACAAACAAAACTCGCTAGTGCAAGGAGCAATTTAAAGGGAAAGGTACGAGTTTTACCAGACCAACCTTTCAGAAAGAAGCTTAGTATTGTATCATGTTAGTTGTTGAATTCAATTCAAAATTACACCTACATTGTCAATATTTCCAAGAGTGCTGCTCCCTATGGTATTGCCATAAACAGTCCTCACTGGAGGAAAAATGGCCTTCTTGGTAAGCAAATCTTGCTTTGTTTACTTTTTAACCTAAAAATGAAATAATAATAACAGCGATGGTGCCTCCAAATCTACTACCTAATCAATGGAGGAGAGAAGAATATGCCTTTGTCAGCAATGTATTCAACAACACCGGATTCTGACCTACCAGTGGAAATTATCAGCTGGATCCACGAGATGGTCCAAGTAGAAGAATCAAATGAAGGTACTGTAGGGTTACATGATGCATCTCAAGAAGATGATCAAGGACAAAATGTTGAGGATAGCGGCAATGACCACACTGGCAACCACACCAGAGACAACGGAAACTACTTTACTGAGAATGACGGACCACTCAACCAGGATGCCACCAAGAGAGACGGAGATGAGCATGAGCCGTTTGTATTGACAGAGGCCGGTCAGACTGAGAATTCTGATGGAGTGAAGAAGAAAAAGGATGATGACTGGCGCCAGTTTCAGTGTTCTGGAAAATACTGGAATTTTGTTGATTATCATCTCCAGAAAATAGAAGTCAAGGCAAGGAAAAATGCAAAAACCCAGGCTGAATATCAGTTTGCATAGAAACAGTAAGTGCTACAATATTGCACTGACTAGCAGTGTATTTATTAACCATGAATTTAATTGTAGGGATTTTGAGAGGATTTTGCAGTGGGACCTCGCTGAATATCCTGGCCCAAAGAAGTTGTTACGCATGAAGTGCTTAATAAAGTCTGAGGGTTCGTCGAGGTTTGTAAAGAGACTTATCCGAAGACAAGTTCAAGAACGTAGTTCTGAGTGGAGGTTTTCCAACAGGAGTTGGTCTTCTTCTGAATAGAAGTCTGATCTTAGGAGTCTAGCTTTGTAAGCGTAAACTGCGTAGAATCATATTAGAGAATATTACTGCTGTTACATGGTATTTATAATGGAAAGGAATCGGTGATAGGAGTTAGGTCCTATCTAGGGCAGGTCTGTCTGTTGAGGACTAAGTACTATAATAGGTACTGTGAATGCGAGAGGAACGGAAGTGTACGTGAAGGAAATGAGTCATCGGTCCGATGGTATAACCAATGAGTAAAAAGGAATGAGTAGTCCTTAAATGTCCAATAGAGATCGTAACATTACCCCCTTACTTGCTCCGAATTTCACCGAAATTTGGTACCTTCGCCGTCCATATTGTAACTGTCATCGTAGCTGACATCTCCATGTAATCCTTCCATCAGAATCCTATCCTCGTCTTCCCTGCGGATGGGACACCAATTGAAACTATGTCCTGGTGCACGATGGTCACAGTCGGGGCAATAGTAGGCTTTGCAATAGTATGTGCGATGATCGCTCCAACCGCAGTTTTGGCAGTATGGAGCGTTGTTACGAACACCTTCATGGTATCTCCGTCGGGTGTTGGATGAGGTGTCAGATTGGGGAGTGGTGGGATCGTCATTTCCCAGGTCGTACGTTCCTGCGTACAACTGATCGATCATGGCTGTGTCGTCATCTATGTTGATTGGGTTAGAGGGAGAGCCAGTTTCAGGCCTGTGCATTGCGCCAGGCGGACTGTCTTTCTGTCCCTTCGACATACAAGACTGCCGTTTTGATGGAGTTCTGGCGGCGGGGATCTGGAGTATCACCTCTTGCTGGCTGCGTTGGGCTCCTCGTCGGTTCATCAGGCGACGGGTTTGGGCGTTTGGCACTGGTCGAGGTGGAGATGATGGGGGAGACAGTGGTTTTGGGTTTGACCCAATGGAACGGGGATTGGAGTGGCTCAACTCTTGTAAGATCGGGCTGGTTGGGACGGTGGGAATATATTTTTCCTCCGACGGGATGGGCGTAGGTCGATGGGTGATAATGTGGTAAGTGCGCTCCGGGGTAACACTGGTCTGGTCTGGGTGCGACAGGGACCGGAGGGACAAACCGGGTGGAGGAGTACTCGTACAACTGTCTCGCTCTATCCTTGTGCGAGCTTCGTTTAGCAATGTCCTCCCGCCTGATTCCAAATATTCCTTTGCCGAGTCCATCTGCCCATTCGAGGAGCTCATCCTCAAGCGTCGTTCCAAAAATTCCAAAACTAACTTTTCCATCCGGAGTGCCCGACAGATACTCAAGTCCTGACTGTTGAGCCGCGAATGCTCGCTTTCCAACGAATGTATTGAGTCTATGGCTTTTAGGAGTTCGTCAGCTATGAGGTCTATGGCAAGGAACGTATGCATGGAAGAAAGAGCGTGATACGCATGGGGGCAGCGTTTTTTGGTCTCGTAAAAGAGATAGGTATAGGCGTCTTTTGCTGACATTAATTCTATGGTGTCAGTGATGTCAGCTTGGTCGTGTCGTTGCCCACGGGCAAAAGACACTTGTTCGTCGGCTAGCAAGTTGGTGTCACCCGGTATCGAGTAGGTGGTGATAGGGAAGCCGGTGGAGTTAGAAGTAGACATGTTTTGTGTTGAGAGACAGAGGATTGTTGGTAGTGGGGCGATTGTCTCTTCAACGCAGCTTGTGGTCCTTCTTATAGGCTTCCAATATCTCCGCAGCATTAGTTAAATGTTCTTCCGGTTCCCATGAGTTTTCGGAATGAGGGTAATGGCGCCATTTAATCAGGTAGTGGCGCCTGCGTTTCCAGGGTTTGTGTCTAAGAATACTTTCTACTTCATATTCCTCTTCTTTGTTGACCAGGTCAGGTGGTGGTCGGATAAAGTTTGGGCGGTGAGTGTTGGTGTCCATATACAGCGTGAGAAGGGATGCGTGGAAAACATTGTGTATCCTCCAATGGGGAGGTAGGGATAGTCGGTAGTTTACCGGGGAAATCTTTTCTTGGATGCGGAAAGGTCCGATGCATTTCATGTTGAACTTCTTGTATTTGGTGGCTTTTTCTCGCAGGTTGGTGTTCTCTAACCACACCTTTTGTCCTTCGGAGAATCGCGTGAACTTTCCATTGTTTCGTTTCATCATCTTGCTTCTCGCGAGTTCGTGTGCTTTTAGGGCGTTTTCCCTTGCCCTAAGCAGTTCGGATAATTGTTTTTCCACTGATGGAATATTTGTGGATCTGTGTTTAGTCGGGATTCCTCGGGGTTCATATCCCATGAGGAGGTAGAATGGTGATTGGTTGTTTGTGGAGTGTGGTCTTTGGTTGTGACAGAATTCGGCGGTTGTAAGGTATTTTGCCCAGCTGTGTGGTTGGTTCTGGCAAAATATGCGGAGGTAGATCTCCAGTTCTTGATTGGATTGTTCTGTTTGTCCATCCGTCTGGGGATGATACGCAGAGGAGAGTGCGGTTTCAATGTTCAGGAGTTTGTGGAGTTCTTTGGATACTTCAGAGGCGAACTGTGGTCCTCTGTCGGATATGAGTTTATCGTGCAATCTGAATCATTTGAAGATGGAATCGTGAAAGATTCGTGCGGTTTCAAGTGCGTCAATGGTTTTATGACAAGGCAAGAGGATTACCCCCTTACTAAGTCCTTGGTCTACCACGACCATTATACTATTATATCCTGAAGATTCTGGTAAATCAGTTATGAAGTCTACAGATAGGTACTTCATTGGTTCTGCGGTTTTTGGGGTCTGGTTTGGGATTAATAGTACGGTGGTGGGATGCGTGTTTACTTTCGCTTGTTGACATGTTGCGCATCCTTTCACGTATTCTTCCACTTGTTTCATCATTCCTGGCTACCAATAGGCCTTTATGATCAACTGGTAGGTTTTGAGCCTACCTGGGTGTCCTGCGGGCAGGGAATCGTGGTGATCTTTGATGATCGTCTTTTGTTCTTCTACTTTGTCAATCAGCAATTTGTTTTGATAAAAGAACTGTCCTTCTTCTTTTCTCCAATTGTCTTTCTTGGTTCTTCCTGGATAATTATTGTTTGTGAGCATGGCTTGCTCGACTGTGTTTTTAATCGTTCGTGTGTGATACAGGAACGCTGAGGCGGGTATCATTGGTGTGTCATCGTCATCTCCTTCTGTTTCGACGTATAAATCAGATCTTCTTGAGAGTGCGTCGGGTACCACCATGTGGGTTCCTGGTACGTGCTCCAAGGTGTAATTGTATTGTGACAGTTCCAGCTGCCATCTTCTTTGTCGTGGTGTGAGTTTCCTGGCTTCTTGCCAGTACGTCAGGTTCTTGTGATCTGTCAGGATTTGGATTGTGTGGGGGCTTCCCAAAAGTAAGTGTTTCCACTCTTTTAAAGCTCTCATTACCGCTAATAACTCTTTGCCGTAGATCTGATAGTTCTTCTCGGCGGGGGATAGAGTTTTGGAGAAAAATGCACATGGGTGCCATTGTCCTTGGTCATCGGGTTGCATTAATACAGCTCCTGTGGCGTGTTTGCTGGCGTCTGCAGCAATTTTTGACGGTTTCGAGGAGTCGGGAATTTGTGTTACGGGGGATTCAAGGAATTTTTGTTTCATTAATTTGAAAGCGTCGTCTTCAGTTTGGGTCCAGTTCCACTTCCTATCCTTTCCTAGTAAGGCATTCAAGGGTCTGGCAAGGTCAGAGTAATGACCGATAAACTTCCTGTAGAAGTTTTCATAACCTAAGAACTTCTTTACGCCTTTGGTGTCTTTTGGGATTGGCCAATCACAGATCCCAGTGAGTTTGGCTGGATCCATTGATACCTGATTGTGGGAAACAATCATTCCTAAGTATTCAATGGTTTCCGCTTCGAAGGTGCATTTTTCTAGTTTTAGGAATAGGTCGCTATCACATAGTCTTTGTAGAACCTGTCTCGTTCGGATTCGGAGTCTTTTGATGTTGGTGTCAAAGATGAGGATGTCATCCATGTATATGATCATCCAACCTTCATCAATGTAGTCTTTGAATTTGTTGTTCATCAGCCTTTGGAATGTTGCCGGTGAATTGCACATGCCGAAGAACATGACCGTTGGTTCGAAAACTCCCTTGCTGGTTTTAAACGCAGCTTTCCATTCGTCTCCTTCTTTTATCCTTATGTTGTTGTATCCCCAACGTAGATCTAGTTTTGTAAAGATGGTGGCTCCTTTCAATTTTTAGATGAGGTCGGGTATCAGGGGTAGTGGATAGGGGTCTTTCACAGTATATGCGTTCAGTTTTCTGTAATCTTGGCACCGTCAGAGTGATCCATCCTTCTTGCCGATGAAGAAGAAAGGGGACACCTGTGGCGACTTGCTCGGCCTGATGTATCCCTTTCTGTAGTTTTCCATTAAGAACTCCGTTAATGCTTCGTCTTCCTTTGGTGCCAATGGGTATAACTTGCAATTTGTTGGTACAAATTCTGGTTTCATGTTGATTGCATGATCATATTCCCGTCGCTTGGGGAGTCTTTCCGACTTTCTTTTGTCAAAGACGTCCAAATACCCTTTATATTCATTCGGGAGGTTATGCTCCTTCTTATCTCCGTGTATTTGCGTGTGTTCCATTGCCGAGTTGACCTTTAATCGAATCGTGGTTCGAGGATAGGGTGTTTGGTCGGATACGTATCTATGAATGGTTTCATACATGTCTTCGTTTACTGCAGTTGTCCTGATTTTTGTTTCCGTGGTTGTTTGGTTCATCCTAATGGAGTGTTTGTCCGAGTTTGGTAATTCCTTGTCTTTCCAGTTAATGACGGGATTGACTTTCCGTAACCAGGGAAATCCCAGTAATACGTCTTCTCCGTCTAGTCCAGTCAATAGGAACTTTGTGAACCTGTTTTGTCCTCCTGCATCTATCCTCTGATAGGTGCAATGCATAATTTTTCCGTTTTTGTTCGTGGTTCTGTCAACATTTTTACATGTTATAGGAGTTGGGAGTTTTTGGAGGGGGAGTCGGTGTCTGATGGCGAATTTGGTGTCCATGAAGTCGTCTGTAGCTCCTGAATCTATCAGGGCTTTGGTTCCGATGGTTTTCTGTTTCAACAAGCAATCAATTCGTAAGGAGTTGGCATTGATTGTTGCTATTGTTACAGTTGCCATTTTCGACGGTACTAACATTGGGGTAGTCCATCATTTTAAAAACCCTTGTCTTCCAATTCTTTCATCGCCTCTGTCCTTTGATCTTCTCCTAACTCCCTCCACATCCTCATGATGTTTTGGACCCTGTCTTCTTCTACCACTGTTTTGGTGTCATCTTCCGTTTCGGTTTGACGTACCTTTCTTTCAGGAGTTTTTCCTTTGTTCCTACAATTCCTTCCTATGTGTCCTTTCTCGTTACATATGAAGCATCTTCCCTCTTTCCTCCTTGATTCTTCTTCGTCTTTGGTTAATCTTTCGGTGCTAGTGGATGGTCCACTTTTGCAATTTCTGTCGTTCTGTCTTTCTTTGTTTCTGGCGCCCCACGCTCCTTCCGAGATAGTGTTGGCACTGATCCAGTTAGCGTCTAGGTTCGCTACTGTGCTCATCCAGTCTTCAATGATGAGTAGTTCCTTTCCGGTGAGTGCCCCGCGAAGGAGGGGTGGCCGGATAGCCTTTTGATAAACCATGATCATGGCTTCATTGTTGATGCCGCTTTTCCCAGCATCTAGCATGAACCTTGAGTTAAACGCTACTGCATTTTCTCCTTGTTCCATCTTCATTTTCATCAAGGCGGCCGAGGCCGTTCCTTTGACGTTTGCCGTTCTGAAACTGGCTGTGAAGGTTTTCATGAAGTCTGCCCATGTGGGGTAGGCATTCTTCTCTTTGTATTCGGTCATCTTGGCTTCGCTCCATGAGGCGGCGTTGCTGTCCTTCATGTAGCTGAGGGCCACATATACCTTTTTCTTGTCGGAGTTGTAGATGGTGTCATTGATATCAAAGTGTAGATTGATGGACAATATCCACCTTTGGGCTTTATCTGGGGTTCCATTGAAGTCATCAATTTTCCCGATCATCGTGGGTTTGGGGGCTGCAGCGTTAGACATGGTGTGTGGTGGTGGGATGTGGGATGGAGCAGGTGCAGCGGGGAGTATCTGTAAAGTGGGAGGTGGTATCAGGTATTGGATATCAGTGGTCTTACCTAAAATGTACTTATATCTATGCTCTTGATACCACAATGAAATTATTGGTCGAGTCAATCCATTCATGTGTGACTTTGAGAAAATGAACATCATAGTATACTGACCTACAACAACCCTCTCTTTTGCAGCTCTGCTTGATAGTCTACCCACATCTCCTGAGCAATTTTATGTAACAACAAAGAGTTAGTTACACTGGTGCACAACTCAGACAAGCAAAAAAAGTAATGAAAGGGAGTGGTTACCCCTTAAGATAGGACTGAGTTAGTTGTGGGTAAACAACAGGAGGACTCGCTGAGGAGTCTCCTGGATCTATTGAGATTTAGATACTACTACAGCATTGTTTGTACATATATACTATACAGTTGACGGAGGCAGTGGCTGATGACATCATGGGGCATAGCCTGTGTGACCAGCTCCACTACATCAGAGACTTTGTAGCTAAAAATAAGGAAAAGGCAGCACAGTGCGAGAAGGTGGAGTTTTGAAAAAAGATG